AAAATAAATAAAAAATGCAGATAGAGACACGCACAGATGTACACATAGGGAAAAAAGGTTTTTTTTCTCATTATCTAAAAATAACTTTTGTTTAAAGAGCAAAGGGATTAGAGAGAAGGGAAAAGAGGGGCTATTGCTTATGGAGCACCGAGCCTCTTAAAAAATGCAAGGAAGTATGCATTTTAGCAAAAGTACTATTTAAAATAGCCAGATTTAAACTGTTTAATTATTTTGGCGATGAAAGCTTCAATTAAGGGTATTTACCATGAACAAGGTGGCCTACAGAGGAAAGGGAAAGTATTGGTTGTATTGAAAGTCCAACCACATGTGGCTTCAGGAACCACTTGATCTAGGGCAGTGGTTCTCAACCTGTGGGTCGAGACCCCTTTGGGGGTTGAACGACCGTTTCACAGGGGTTGCCCGATTCATAACAGTAGCAAAATGACAGTTATGAAGGTAGCAACAAAAATAATTTTATGGTTGGGGGGTGGTCATCACAACATGAGGAACTGTATGAAAGGATCGCGGCATGAGAAAGGTTGAGAACCGCTGCCCTAGAGAGAGGGGTGGACAAAAACCAGAAGAGTCTGCAGGTTCCCGAATCTGAATATTTGTGGTCAGCCTCTGCAGAAGCCCCTCTGTGGCACAAATGTAGGAAGAGGGACTCATACCGTGAGGCGGGAAGGTGAGCAGATGAAAAATTATGCTCTGATTCCACCCTGGCTGGAGTTCCTGGGTGGGGCACCAATCATCATCGAGCTCAGCTGGTAACTGACAGGTTAGAGGTTCAAGGCCCCCCAGAAGTGCCTCAGAGGAGCAGTCTTGAGATCTTCTGGGGACAAACAGCCAGCCTCTGAGCCCCCTCTGGAGCCCCGTGCTTCTCTGCCACGTGAGCACAGGGGCAGCCAGGAGCCTGTGCTGATGTGATGCCACTGGTTTTCTGATTTTTCTCTTCTGTTCTAACTGCTAGCGAATTGCTGGCAAACTTTGTCAGGAAAAGAGCGGGAGTGAGCAGGGGAGGGGACAGCAGAAGAGGCTGACAAGGAAGTGGGGAGAGGCAGGAATGGGGGAGCGAGGAGAGAAAGGGGAAGTGAGAGAAAGGAGGAGAAAATGGAAGCGCTAGCCCTCCAAATCACCAAGTCGGCCAAGTGGACCCGATGGATGAAGATGAAGGCTGGGGGGCTCCCTTCCACACACCGGGAGTTCTGAGTGCGTGCTGACAATGCTTCCGTCCAGTCCCTGGTCTGTGATTTGATTTACACCTACGAGTAAGAACGCGCAAGGGCACTTGAGTGCGACAGAATCAAAATGAAAAGAACACAGCTTTGTGGGTTTCCCCCCAGACGTCTGGAATGCATTAAAAGTAATTGGATGAAAACACGAAGCCAGGGCTGCAGCTGGCAAACAAATTGGAAGGGTTTCCAAACTCCCAAAAAGCAAAGAGCTTTATTGGGCCAGAATATACTGGGCTATGGGACATAGCATTGGGGGCTGTGTTCATTGGATTCTAAAACTTACCGGGCCAAGCAGTGAGAGCCTTGGAAAAATGATCATGAAAGGTGTTGGCAGAGTGTGTACAAGGGGAGGGAGGCCTTCACACACCAAATGTCAGACCATCCCAAGCTCTCCGCGAGCCCAGTGGTAGCAAGCTGATGGAAGAGACTGCAGACAGTACGTGGCCCATCAGGACACGGCGGCCAGGCCCTGCCTCCTAGACCTCAGGAAGCCACTCTCCCGCTTCCCTGTGGCCCCTGGGCATTCAGAACAGGAGGGGAAGGGAGGCCGGATGGGATGGGGACCCCCGTGTTCTCTCTCACACACTCCCTCCCTTTCAGGTGGTACATACAACAAGTAAAACACACAACGAAGAGCAGTTGCCCTTAAGTCAGTTCTAACTCAAGGAGAACCCCTGTGGGTCCCAGGAGAACTGTCCTCCCTGGGGAGAAAGAAGGGGGCTTCTACTCTGGTAAAGAGTTGCAGTCTGGGAAACTCATAGGGTCAGGACATCCTTGTCCTATTGCAGGGGTCCTCAAACTATGGCCCGCGGGCCACATGTGGCCCGCTGAGGACAGTTATCCAGTCTGCCAGGTGTTTTTTTGTTTGTTCTTTTTATTTCAAAATAAGATATGTGCAGTGTGCATAGGAAATTGTTCATAGTTGTTTTTTTGTAAACTATAGTCTGGCCTTCCAACGGGTCTGAGGGACAGTGAACTGGCCCCCTGTTTAAAAAGTTTGAGGACTCCTGTCCTATAGGGTCGATACGAATCAGCATCAACTCAATGGCAGTGAGATTTTATTTTCAGGTTTTGAAGGAATATGCAAGTCCAGCTGCCCCTGGCCCTCAAGTACATTGACCTGGCCCATGATTCTGACCTGCCTCCATTAGGGTTTGGTGTAGCCTTGGGGTGGGAAAAGAGGGAAAGAAGCCTTTTTCTTGGAAAACTCCTATAAATACCTTACCAGTGAGAGACTAACCCCTCCTACCTATTTGCATATTCTCATGGACCAGATGAACCAGCTAATGGAAGAGGACAAGGGGTTGGTGCTGGGGAAGGTTTCTTGCATGGGATGCCCTGAGACAGTCCTCCAAGCCTGTCTGAGGGGCCATCCAGAGAGAGGTTGGCAGGGGAGGGGCCAACCAGAGAGAGGTTGGCAGGGGAGGGGCCATCCAGAGAGAGG